TGTGGTTTTATTTAATAGACAGAATGATTTAAGAGAAAAGTTTAAAATACCTCAAGTTACAATAATTTTTCAAAGCGTACGACTAGCAATGCACATTTGAAATAAACTTAGCAAATATAACGCATCCAAATATGATAAGTCTACAAAGTCTGAGCAATACAATTCAAGTCTAGCAGGATTATAAGTGAAATAAATTAGTTACTTGCAATTATAAAAAAAAATAGATTGAAATATCAAAGTTTTCCTTAGAAATTGAACTTGGTATTATCTTAATAAGGAACGGACTGTATAAAAATAGAAATCCATAGTTACCCGGATCGTATGGACAGGAAATTATGTTACGGCTTGAATGTTTTGCAAAGTGTTTCGTGAGTGGTTTTGGGTACCAGGTTCGAGTAGCGCCCACAGTAACACTAGTGCGTTCGTGGGGGAAGGTCGTGGCCCGTGCGTGGTGCTGCTCGGGACGAGCATGGTGCGTGTGCAGGACTCTAGTGAACGTGCCATGTTCCACCAAGTTAGAGCGCTCATCGATAGCGGCGCTCAGGACTGCTTCATCATTATGAAATGCGCAAAAAGAGGTTTTCAATTGCGTTGATGCACCACAACTGTGGCTAGACATAGACAACAGCCTGTGTGTCAAGTCAAGGGAATGACTCAATGCTCTATACGCCCGTGTGATTCGAATGACACGAAATTCGATATTAGCCCTATAGTCAGCAATTACATTACTTCTAAAATGCCAACCACTGATATTCTTCTAGCGGTCGGAGACCGTTATAAACACTTAGTATTAGCGGATCGTGACTTTGACAAACCGTCTGATGTTGATTTATTGCTAGTTTTTATTTCATCACATATATGACGGTCGTGTCATCCGACCAGAGCCCGACTATGCTGCTGCTTTACATAGTCTTTGGTTAGGTTCTCTTTGGACCCATAAATGTAAAGAGTCAGGTAAAATTGGTTGGCACTTCGTTAATTACTTCAACTAAAACAAAACTAAGATGGTGAAACGAATTTGGGAAGTCGAGGAACTGCCTCATCACTATATACCTGCTCCAGAAGATGAGGAGTTCGAACGCCTGTATTACACTCAAACTTATGGGGAGTGCGGCGGTCGAGTTATTGAAGTAGTCGTCTGTTTATATGATACACTTTTACGAAGGCTAGTTCAACGGTAAGCCAATAATTCCAATAGATCGACCCGAAAGACACCAATAGGTTTGCGGGCGCTGATAAAATCCTCTTAAAGCATAAAAGCCGGGCATTTAACCTGTAAAATAGTATTTTATACATATAACTGGTAAATATTTATTATTTACCATAGAGCCGTGTTGCTCTATGATTATTTACACTTAAAATATTTCTTTAAATAAAATTTATACTATGTAAAATGATACTAAGCAAATAATTTTAATGCCCTTATTTTTTTTAAGGACAGGGTGATAAACGAGCACACAGTCCACCTGATGGTAATTGGTTACTGTTACCCATAGACATCTACATCTATCCTCAATAAAGACTCAAAATGCAGATGCGTTGTCACCCGTGAGGACTAAGATGGAATGCCTCTTTTCCAGTAAAAAGGGTCTCCGGTTCTCTACACTCACCATACGAAACACAGCAGTGTTAAGCTGCTATTTTACGCTGGTATTCTGTGAGAGCGTGGTCCTTCCCCGGTCGAGCTTGCTACAACTATACAACTAATATAGCTGCAGCATGGCTCTACCACGTATAAATTATTGTTTTTAATTATAACATATTCATTTTAAGTATTGTAAGTATAATCATTATTTCTATTTCCAACATGTTAGAGATTACATATTGGTTTTAGGCATTGTAAGCATAATATGGAATAAGGTATTTTAAAAATATACAGCATTATCTCTTCAAATTTGTATGATCTAATATATAAAAATAATGTTTGTTTGTTTGTATCTTATGCTCTGCCATACCGTTAATCACATTGCGCTAAAACTTTGTCAACTTACTTATTGCTTGTTCTTGTGCAAAGGTTATAGGCATAGTACAATTAACTTACAATAGGTGGCGCGCGTACCTTGCCAAAAAATTAATTTGAAAATTATACATCAGTCAACTTCAATGAATGTATCATCATTTCTTGTTTAATTAACAATATAACTCTTCCAAAGGAGACTGTACATTTCTGGCCCAGTCTATGTACAGTATACCGTAAAAAAGAGAAAAATTCAGGGATTTTGTTAAAAATAAAATGATAGAATAAATCAAACTAAATACCTTGCTAAAAATAAAAATGCAATCCCAAGTTTTTGATGGTTTTACAAGATGGTGCCCTTCCAGTCATAAAAAAAGTAAAAAAGACACGGTTATTTGTCAAATGTCATTTCTGTCAAATGATATTTTTATTTATTCCGAGCTTGTTCTGAACTTGTGAATGTGTTTAATTATGGATTTCTTTGGCGATTTGGTTTTTTGTTTGGACTTTCCAAACAAAAAACCAAATCTTTATTTACTACTTTTTGACTCTGCTTTTATTTTATGGACTTAATAATTTACGTGAGATTTCGATTTCGTTGATATCGGATATCTGTATTCTGTAGAATCACATTTTGAATCAATAAGCAGGTATGTACTAAAGAAAGATGTTTCCTTATGCTATTAAACGTATTTGAATGACATGCTTCTATCTGTAGTCTGTTAATAATTATTAATTTCTACATAAGATCATAATGGCTGCAAAATCTTAATATGATTAATTATCTAATTATCTTTCAGTTCACCTGTTAAAACATGTTGCACTGTTTAAAATGCGCTTCTGCATTATGAATAGTTTATTAAAGTAGGATTGTTTTGTTCTAGATGGATGAAAATGCACCAATATGTTCACAATGTTTTGCAAACGTATTACAAGAATTATTTGTCGGCACAAATCATGAAAATGAGCTCCAGCGCCCTAATGCCAATATTATCAGTATATTATTATATGTTTGGTGTCAACGAAGACTGGGTAGCAGATAAGTTGTGACCCAATTAATATCATCCCAACAAGACTCTGTTTGAATAAGCGGCCGTATAAAATCTCGCCATCACTCGGACAGAGCTTATTATACATACATACTGTTGGCGAGACAAGGGACAAGTTGGGATGAGATGATTGCAGGTTATTATTGCAGTTGCATTTCTGGACAACAGACAGTGGGTTGCTGTGCCCACATAATGACCGTTGTCTGGTATTTGTGTTGGGCTCGGTATCAAAATTCCATAACCACACCGGCCTCAATTCTGGATGGCATTTTAGTAAGAGAGGATTTTGAAGTAGGATAAATAAATAAAAAATTTAAAATTAAGCTGTTTTATTTATATTGCCTTAGGTATCCAAAACATGATTGACCTAATGTTTCACTTTCTATAATTCACAGGACTGTTAACCTTTGTTATGACATTATCCAGGCTTTAAATGTCTGTCAAGGCTCAAGGCATACTCTGACACGCTGAGGACCTGGTATATGAAAACATTTGTACGCCAGAAACGGCAGGATATTTAGGATGCGAATTCTTTTGTAACAACTGTAATGTACCATTTTATAACAAATAAATTATATTATCTATGATTGTACTCTAGCACTTCAGCAGCCCAGATAGACACATATACCTGAACAGATTTTTTATTTTACAGATTAGTATTCAGGGTTATTCTGTTTATCCACCTTAAAACAGCCACTCTAAAGTAAAATAAGTTAAATATATTCTTTATAATTAGTGCAATAAAGTAGTATCTCAGGGTGAATTTTTTAGGGTAGAGAAACGGAGTTACCCTCTATTCACATATAATCTCGGTTTTGAGCTATCTGGCACAAATTTTTTGTAAAAGCTAACAAAACAGGCTCCATTTCCCCATGTAAAACAAAAAAAAGTCCTGGATGCCCTTGGCACTAAAGTGTACATTAGTACACACTAATGAATGCAATGAAATAATTTTGTGCGTAGGTACCGTTGATTTATCTCAACAATCTTCTTGTCTGGAATTAGCTAGTACTTTTTACATTTGTTTTACAAATATCAACAAGAACGTTAGTTGTTTTAAGATCAAAAAAACACATACACAATCTTTATTACACTTTATTCGTGTTTTGATAAAAAAATACAACTTTTTTGCCTTACTTTCCTACTAGTGTCGAGACATTTTAGCTATTTTACACAATAAATCTCCCTGATAGGCTATAGGTGATATCAGAGATATCAGAGATGACAGCTAACGTCAAATCAAAACGACTTCAATCCGCCATTAGTGTTGCAGTTTTGGTGAGAATAAAATATTAATACCACTGAAATTAAGGCAAATTCGTAGATTTGAATGATCAAAAGTAATTTAATATTTTATTTTAATTTATTTTCATGCTAGTACATAAACTAGGCCTACGTTTCATACAATTTTGGACCGTCTCCTTTAAAACGATATTTCGACAATTAATTTTTCTGTGGCAGCTACGCGCTGGGTACCAGCTAGTATGTAATATAATAAACAATACATATCGCACTATGTTGTGCGGGTTTTCTTCATTATAAATCTTATCCTAAAAACCAAACATAGCTCTTTTCATTGCTCACTGAGCAATTTTGGGCTATGGGTGCAGATTGAATCTGGTATATCATGGACACTAACCATGACTTTCCTCTTACTTGAATTTTTATGCAGTCGAATGGGTACGTCGCGTCGCGAGGATTCATTCAGGGTGTTCAACATGTACCCCATTTACACTCTCGCGCGAGCGACGAGGCGAGTCACGAGGCGAGCCGCGAGGGGCGAGTGTAAACGCTAGCTCGTGGCTCGCCTCGCAGCTCGCCTCGTCGCTCGCGGCGCTCGCGTCGGAGGCGGTTTTTTGGGCACGAGGCAAAGGGCCTCGCGAGGGACGCGAGCGTGCTGTTTACACTCGCGCTCTCGTTTCAGTTTGCTTACGGCGCCCTTCCGTGCAGGTTGTGTTGTTTTGTTGGGTTTACACGTTCGACTTCAATACAAAATGGACTGGTCGCAAGAAGAAACGTTGCAGTTCTTGGAACTCTATCAGGCTGAGCGAATAATTTGGGATCCAAAGCATATTATGCATAAAAATACCCAAAAAATGAATGATGCGTGGAATAGAATTTCCGAGGTTATGTGCAGACCACTAGCAGAGCTCAAAATAAAAAAGAATTCGCTTATGGCTACCTTTCGTCAACACCTACGAAGAAAAAAGCAGTCTATAAAATCTGGCGCATCTATTGATGTCATTTATAATCCAATATGGGTATACTATGAAATTATGGAAAATTTTTTGGCACAGGTTTATAAATGTGACCATACAATAAGTACTGAAGACGAACCCGTAAGTAAATAAAACAATTGTAATCTTTTGTAACTTTTATTAATGTTTTACATTGCTATTTATATTTTCAATCACAAATATTATAAGTACCTACTGTTACAACTTTTGTGTTTTTGTGTTTCTTAACCTTTCGGCGACTAAAAAAAAATTATATTTTTTAAGAATACATTTATATACTATTCTATTACATATTATGATTAATATCCTAAAGTTATGGGATATCAAAAGGAATACGTTATATAGTGGTCAAATGCGTTCAAAAGGCCAATAGTAAATTAAATATTTAATTTCCACTACTCGCAAAAATTAATTAATTAATTCTATTACTTTGAATAAAGTAGGTAGCGAATTCAGTTCTTAAATCAATGGCGTTTTGTGATGCACGTCTACCCACATTTTGTATGAGTCGTACACCTGAATTTGAAGGCTGATTTTGCCTCCATGGCCCTTCTTTAATTAAGACGCCGTCAACAATGGTGTCGAAAGTTCCAGGAGGCGTATAAATGTTCCTAGATGTTTTACTGTTCCTAAGAAAATTGTGTAACAAAACACAGGTCATGGTAATTAATATGGCCCTGTCCTTTTGTACTTCCATGGGTTTTTTAAATATTCTAAAAACTGAGGTTAGTACACCAAATACATTCTCCACAATAACACGTGTACTAGATAATTGTTGGTTAAACGTCCGTTGAAGTGAACCAATGTTATGGTTTCCTGGATATGGTTTCATTACGTGCTTGCTCAATGCAAATGCCCCATCTCCAAGAAAAACGTATGGTACATTACATTGCCTGCCAGGCAGTGGGCTATCATGTGGCAAATTAATTGTTTGCGAGCAAATTTTTTCCCAAAGTGCACTATTTTGAAATACACAGCCATCGCTTATTCTTCCTTGAGCCCCGACATCAGCAAATATAAAACGGTAATCGCTATCAACTAAAGCTAAAAGCACAAAACTAAATGTCCCTTTGTAATTGTAATATTCGGAGCCACTTTTGGGTGGACATTGTATCACAATATGTTTGCCGTCGATACAACCCACACAATGTGGAAATTTTCTCTTGAATCCCATTTCTATGGCTAACCATTCTTCTGCATTTTGTGGCATCTGAAAGAAAGATGAATTACTAGTTTTAATAAACAAATAAAATCATTCATGTATGTAATTTATTCATTGTTTTTTTCAGATAAATTCACCGGTGACAGAAGAGGAAGAGACAGCAAAAGAGAATAAAGAAAATAGTCAACCGGAGAATCAAACTGAAGAAAGTGAAAAAAAAATTCAAATCCCCTTTTAAAAAATCAGCAAAACGTAAAAACACAGATATAGATGACCTACAAAAAGACATCAAGGAAACTGTCTTGTATAAACAATTTAGTGGCAAATAAAAATAAAATAGACGACGAATGTGATATGTATGCCAAAATATTGGCTACACGCCTTCGTGAATATACAAAAATGGAACGCCGTCGAATTATGCACGGCATCGATGGGTTTCTACTAGCCAATCCACCGCAGAATCTACAGAACGATAACATGTGTTCACCGACATCTTCCATCGCGTCTTCTTCTGGTTCATATCGCTGTATGTTCCAATCGCCACAATCACCTGTACACATTTCTGCTCAAGATCGACCTGCTTCCTACAACAGTGTTTTCCTACAACCTCAATCACCTATCCAAATTTCCATACCAGATCGTCCCTTATCTCATGAAGCGGCCTACTCGTATTTAATAGAACCGCCTCCATCATCTATTGCACCAGAAAATCGAGTAAGAATCCTATCACAGCAAATAATACAACCATCACAAATTATAAATCAATCATATAACGCCGCAATAGATGACAAAGATTAGTACATTATGATAAATAAGTGTAATAATCAGCCGGGGTCAGCTGTTCAATAAATAAAGACGGACAATTAACTGTTAATTTAATAAAACCTCTTTGTTAATTAAGAAAATTTTCGATGATCATAGTGTATTAAATTTTTATTTTGATTATATTATTTTATAGGTGAATTAAAAAGTATAACTTGACATTTGCTGGAAACAGCTGATTTTTAAAAATCCATACTAGTGCATAATAAGCTATATTCTTTTTTTTTTCTTCTTTTTTTTACATTTTTCTCCTGTATTTTGAGGCAATTTACAAACACAAATTGCACAAGGACAAACATCCAGACGCGGAACAATCATTTGCAGGCCATACAAATACTTGTTCCGTGCGGGATTCGAACCCGCGGCCCCCAGCGCAGCATCTCATTGCTAAGCCACTGCGCCACGGAGCCTTCACATTACAACACTAAAATCGATCGAATAAGAGACAAATTACCATTACCAGCAAGTGTGTTGAAAAATTATTGTTAATTGTTTGAATATTTCAAATGAGAAATGTAGCATTTGATTGTACGAGTAAAGGATTATATTATTTTTTAAACAAAGTTTTGAATTACTTCTTTTATTTCTTACGTTTATCTCATTCTTTAATACTATGTTAATAGCATTGCAGACTTCATGCACTATTATTGATATGGCTGAACATGATATCTTGAATAAGAAGTGAAGACTTTTGTAGCTATCACCTGTAGCTAAAAATCGTAAAGTTATAGCCAAACGAACTTTTGCTGGGATGGATAGTCTCAGTCTAGTATTTTGTTTGGTAATCAAAGGTTCTACTTTCTTTAACAGAAATTCAAAATCAGTTGGTGACATTCTACAAAAATTGTGAAACTCTCCAGAGTCTTCATTTAGCATTTCTTGAAACATATTTTCCATACTTTGCCTAAAAGTAAAAAGGAAAGATTAAATTATAAATAAATAACGATAATATAACATAAAAAAATAATATTATTTAATCTTGCACAATAGTTACTAGCAATTTATATAAAATTATGAAACTCACAAGGTTCTGTTTCGATGAATAGATATTATCCACCATCTTCTTCTTCGACGACGTCTTTTTTTTTAATTTCCTTCTTTTTAAAATGGTCAAGCATCGATAAATATTTATTAAGGCAAGCGTTGATGCCGCTATTATTTCGACGTCTTCCATCGTTGCTGGCTCAACGCAAACTGAACGCATCGCGAGAGTGTAAACAGGCACTCGTTACCTCGCAACAACACGCGAGCTGCGAGGCGAGGTACGAGGCGAGGCGCGAGGCGAGAGTCTAAATGGGGTAAGAGTTCCAGTTTAGCGTCTTGAAGGCGTCTTACGGTGTATTTTGAAAGGTTTCGGAAGTGTTTTGTTTTGTTTTATTGTATGTTAAATAATTAAATTAAAATAAAAATATTTTCTTTGATAAAGAATACGAAAGAACACTGGCACATTGATCATCAGCAGGCACTATATTTTACAAATTATAAAAAGTAATTTAGGTACTTTGGTGGATTAAACACAAATGTCCAGAATCAAGTAAATATATTTGTTGTGTTTTGTTACAGTGGTAAAATTAAAAATATTGTACAATCAACTTTAATATAAATTATTAAGGATAACTCAAAAACTACTGGTCAGACCTTGATTACATTTATGGGACCACATGAGACCACCAGCTTTCAAATAAAGTATAGTCATCGAAATCAGATCACAAAAAATTATATAATATAGGATCAAAAATATGCATCCTGTTAATTAATATATATTATTTTATTATTATTAGGTTATATATATTATATGTAGCTATTGTATGTATTATTTTTATATATGGTATTATTTTATTTTTATTTATAGTATAATTTAATATAATTTACGTATGTTTTTTTGTATATTATTTACAGTAGTATTAGTATTGTACGCACTAAGTTTGCCTTTTTAAATATATTTTCCTTTGTGGGTCTACTGGAAGATATTTCAGCAAATTATGGAATAAGTAGAACCTTTGTACAAAATCACTATAAGACTGTTTCTGTATCTTGTTGTGTGTACATAAATAAATAAAAAAAGAACATATAGTCGAATTGAGTACCTCCTCGGTCAAAAACCGAAGTGGCATAAGAACTAACAGTTCACCTGAGGATCTCTTTTTGAGTACTTATATTCGAAAAAATTTGCAAATTAGCATTGAGCTAGAGTAACATTTACAATTTAAAACAAATATAATTTTATAATATCAAGAATCACAATGTAAAAAGACATTTTATAATTATATTTTAAGTTTATTAGGTATGTAAATGTTATTCATTAGCAATTTTTGAATATTAGAAAATATAAATAATTTACTTGTCGGATATGTGGGAAATATATCATAAGGTTAATTGTTAAAAATAAAAATAGTGTGGGAGCGGGTGTTCAACATGCTCTCCTGCTTACACAATTAATCATTTCATTATTAGCAGCAAAACGTGGTACTGCACTTTACATTCAGTATAGAGCAATTACAGTTCGACCATACCGTAATATTATGTTCCCGTCAAAATTACACAGTAGTAGTGTAACGTGAGGGATTTAATTACATGATAACACCAAAGTATACAAACCACCAGCAACACTAAACATCTCAATGTAACAGAGAGCAGCCTCTCAGCTACAGCATCTTCCTTGCCTGTACTAGAAGAACTACTACAATGGATAGAACCACGATACTGTTAAAATAAATGCACAGCATGGAATAAAATGTACATGGAATTGTTGGCTACTTTGAGGACGTATTTTTAATTCGTATCCAATGTGATGATCTCCTGAAATTTGAAATAATTATTGCCCAACGTTGTACCGTTCTTGGACAATTTGCTTTTATTTTGTATTGACACTAATGTGTGGAGCCGGCTCATAGTTTGGTATTTAAGGCCTTGTAAAGTTAATGTCAAAGTTTAAAAATATTTAATAATTACATTCTTTTTCTCTATCTTCATCAGCCGCAAAAGTCGACTGGAAATCACTATTGGAAATGGACCTCTGCCGTTGTATGAAAGATTTATCTTGAACGTCACGATTAGCCAGCGTTAAAAACCTCTCGCAACTTTTACGCTGCTGCATGTCGTCATTATGGACTAGGTATTTTCATTATAA